TCGGCATCACCTGCATATTCAAAAGTGACTTGCTAAAAGCTGGAGGTTTTGACACTTCAATACAAGGCTGGGGGCTGGAGGATGTCGACTTATTCACAAAGATCATTAACTCTGATTTAACAGTGTTCCGTTCACAAGAACCGGGCATAGTGCATGTTTATCATCCTGTCCAATGCGATACTAATCTAGAGCCCAAGCAATACAAAATGTGCCTGGGGTCCAAAGCGAGTACGTATGCATCTGCGATGCAGTTAGCTGAACTGTGGCTGGAGAAACATTTAGGCGTAGGATACAGGAACAGAACTTCCTCCTGACATTCCGGCTATCTGTCAGTGTCACTGGAGATTACCTCAGTTCCTCAGTACCTGAACGCAAAAGACTGATTGTGTGTCTGTGTGTCTAAAGTGTAAGCAAGCGTGTGAAATTCAAGGTACTCTAGCAATGTTTGGCGCAGCATATTTATTTGTGCAGTTGACTCTTTCACAGCGTCTTCCAAAGGTCATTTAGGAAAATGTTAATACCATTTGTTTCGTGCTCGTTGTTGAAAACGTGAAATCTGCTAATTTACTCAGGAGCATATTTCTCATCACATGACCACAGTCTGTGAATGTTCAGTATTATCCTTGCCATTAAAGCCGTATGAGAAGTGCTCTTGTTTCCAGGTTAAAGTGGACACAAACACCACCATGAATAAATAAATTATTAATAAATTAATATATTTCCATGGGGACAATATTAATGAAAGTACCATTAATGTGCTTTAAAGGGGACAGAAGAAAAATAAAATGTTCTTTATACTAATAAAATATTTTTTATTTCTGCAGTATTTTTAAAGTTACTGTAACTTTTATTTTCTAGTTGCAATAGGATCATTATGTTAAGGTACTGGTTGCCTTCCGACATTTGCTGTATTCAGTCTTTTTTCTTTTGTTATTTTTGAAGCTCTGCTGCAGCGAACAAAGTGCATCTCTTATCATTTTTTGCTTTGTGACAAAAGTTAATTTTATGGCAACTAAAATAAGCTTTCAGTTGATTATTTATAATAAATGTTGAAATGCATAAACTTGTGCTGCGTCCCTGTTCATCTGTAAGTTCACTAGCAGCCGGTACACTACATGTAGTATGATATATGTGAGAGAATCTGCATAGTTCTGGTACACTTTGACGTGTATTTGTGCTGTGTTCAGTATGTTCTACAATAGCCTTTAATATGCAGTGTGTCCAATAATACTAAGAGCTGCCTATTAGAGTTACCTACTCAGTGTGAGCAAATTCACAAGCAGTTTTTCCTGCATGCTGGGGCTTGGGTGTTTCACATACTAATTAATTAGATATATACATTAGAAAATTAAATACATTCTCGTTCAATCAAAATAATTTATGTCCAAATCCTATACCTAACTGACTCCATGAAAATGCCAAACACACCCCTAAACTTCTCACTAAACTAATCTGATCTACTCATTCTCAAAGCTATTTATGACAATACATGTGACACTATTTTAGCACCATGTTAAAAAGAACTATTTGCAGAAAATGTATGATATATGATAAAATGTATGATTGATATATATATATATATATATATATATATATATATATATATATATATATATATATATATATATACACACCTCACGCTACTAATAACAGTCTGCAGTAATTGCCACGACTGCTCAAAAATATAACTACTAACACTGACAGCACTTTCTCTACTGACAGCAATCCATACACTGTCCACTTTCACACACACTATGTCAGTATATGCTGTAGCATTACAATTTCCCTTCAGTGGAATTAAGAGGCCCAAACCTGTTCCAGCATGACAATGTTCCTGTGCACAAAGCGAGCTCCATAAAGACATGGTTTGACAACGTTGGAGTGGAAGAACTCAAGTGTTCTGCACAGAGCCCTGACCTCAACCCCACTGAACACCATTGGGATGAACTGGAGCACCAACTGCACCCCAGGCCTCCTCACCCAACATCAGTACCTGATCTCACTAATGCTCTTGTAGCTGAATGAGCATAAATCCCCACAGCCACACTCCAAAATCAAGTGGAAAGCCTTCCCAGAAGAGTGGAGGTTATTATAACAGCAAAGGGGGACTAAATCTGGAATGGGATGTTCAACAAACACACATGGCTATCATGGTCAGGTGTCCACAAACTTTTGACCATATAATGTCAGTGAGAGGGTGCGATGTGTTTTTTCTCCCCATGCACCCACAGGTGATTAAAACACAAAGTTTCATATCACCAAAGTCCATACAGTTTCTAATGTCAGTTTGATAAACCCACAACACTGCCTGTTTAAACTATATATTACCAAAGCTCTGTTGAATCTAACTGATCACAAGATGTTGATTAAGTTTCTATAACAGAAGCTTAGACAGCTATAATTCGAATCACGGGTTTATATTAATATGCTCGTTCTGACATGTTCTCATTTCTGTAGTAATTGTTATTATGTGTTGCTGTTTAACAAAGAACATATAATCCTTGATATGTTGGGGGTTTTTTTGTAAGGAGATGTTTATTTAACATTTATGGAAGGAATCTCCAGTGTCAGTGCTTTGGGACAGTCTAGCTAGAGGGTCCCTAGATTGAGAAACAGCCCTGGTCAAAGGTAAAGCTTTAGGTTTTTAGGTCCCGGAAAGTCTTCAGGAGTGACGGCATTGTGCTTTTCTCAATACCTAGCTGCATTATTTGTCTTATTAACTTCAAGACAGAGAAAAACGAAGGTTGGTGAGGGAACGACTGCTATAAGGTAAGTGATAACAAGAGTATGATGTTCTTAATTTAATAAAATTAAAATAAAAAAAATAAAAATTGGAAAATTGCTGTGGTGTAAGAGGAGTGAAACACTTTGCTGCTTGAGAAGTGATGTAATAGAAAAATAATCAGTAGTGCATTTTTTTTTTTGTCTTATTAACTTAAAGGGAAAGTGAGGGAAAGAGAGTTTATAGCTGCTGCAATCATAAAATGATAACAGGAACTAAATTGTTTCAGTCACTCCACAACACTAATATGTAACTATAAATGGAAAAAATAGCAATAATTAAAAATGTATGGCAAAGTGCTGTGATATAAGAGGATTAAAGCACTCCAGGGCATGATGTTAGAAGAAAATGATTCATCTCTGGATGGTCATCTTGCTTAATGCACGTTTCAGTTTGACAGGCGGTGTGAATTCCTTTTTATTGATCTTCAAGCCATCTCCACCGGATGTTGCGTCGTATACTCGCTCTACTGCAGCTGAAGCACGTGACCCACCCGTCCAGCGGAAACAGTTTGGAGATCAGGTAAAGACAGAGCGGTGTAGCTGGTAAAGGCTGCCAGACTCAGCGCCATGGCTGACGAAGTAGCCAAGGCGCAAACTGCACAACCCGGAGGAGATACAATTTTCGGCAAAATAATTCGGAAGGAGATTCCTGCTAATATAATATACGAAGATGACCAGGTGTGTGTTCATGTTTGCTAGCTAGCTTGTGTTAGGTGTCAGTTCGCAGAGCGCGCGTGCAGATACAACAGGCGCATTAGCGTTAAACTGTTTTGCATGTAAACAGTAAAAATCTGTGCATTTCTAATAAAAACAGTCGTGGCGTCGACGTCTTTGAACAGATTTATCCAGAGCTGCTGGTCTGCTAACGCCTAGTGAGCCAGGCTGTGTTGGAGAAGCCGTATTTAGCGTTAGCTGAGATGGTAAGCTCCTGTAACCGCGCGGCCAGCCGCACTGCTGATGCAGCCTTCAAGCGCTCAGGCAATTGTCCTGTTTCCCACTACTGAAGCCGTAATTACGACGATGTCGTGTTCACATGCTGTTTTCAGAAAGAACATATTTCTTCTTTCTTTCATTTTTAATTTTTTTGTTTTACTTTTTATTTTGACACCACAACACATTACTCAGTTAGCTAGTTTACTGACGATAAGAGAATTTGGGTCAAATACAAGCTGTTTTCACGGTGTAAAAATGTACACCATGCATAAGGATGGTTGCTGATGTACATACATCAACATGACCAAAACAGCAAGCGCTAACAATTAGAAAAATGAACAAAACTATACTCTCCTCCGCCATGTTGAGAGTTTAGGACTTCTCCTATCTCGGAAACTTGGGTGTTAAAAGTAAATTTAATTAAATAAAATTAAAAAGCTCCGAGTTCCCCAGTCGTAATTACCACTTGAGGGGTCATTCATGTGCCATTTCATAGTGGGAAACCCGTATTTACGATAATTCGGGTAGCACTTGAAGGCTGCATTAGAGTAGGCTCCTTGAGTTAAAAATAAATAAACAAACTTTATTAAAGTGCAGAAAATTACAACTCACCTTTATCCAAACTTTCAAATTCTAGCTAAATATAAATAATAATTTATAGTTATTAGCTTGTTTGGTCAGAAACCTTAATAACTCACTTGGATCTAATGTGTTATGTTGGTGGAAAGTTGAGGAATATGAAGCTCTCTGGCTGTAATAAATAGCCAGAATATTATCATACATATTTAAATCATGAGCCTGAATAGTTGGATTATGGTCTGAGAGGGTTTGTGGGATTTATCTTACTGTTAAAGGGAAGGAAAAAGTTTGAGAATTCCTGCAGTAAAATATGGAAACATGCAGATCTGAGATCTGCCCAGAAAGAAATTTGGACAAACCAGTTTTAGCATGTGGGTAACTGACTAACATGCAGGCAGAAAATCATGTCTTCTTATTATTATTATTATTTGATATACTGCATATAAAGGCTATTGTAGAACATACCAAAGTATCCAATAATTTTGTAAGCTCAAATACAAGTGAAATTATTCCAAACCTGCCCAGATCTCATATACACTGTTGTTGTTGTTCTTCTTTTGGCTGCTCCTGTTAGGGGTCGCCACAGCGGATCATTGGTCTGCATATTTGATTTGGCACAGTTTTTATGCCTGATGCCCTTCCTGACGCAGCCCTCCCCAATTTTATCTGGGCTTGGGCCCGGCACTGGGAGTGCACTGTCATGATTCCCTGGCCAGGAATCAAACCTGGGCCATAGCAGTGAGAGCGCAATGGCCTAACCACTAGTCCTCCAGGGCCCCATTATCTCATATACACTATATGGCCAAAAGTATGTGGACACCTGACCATCACACCCATATATGCCCATTCCAAAACCATGGGCTGTAACATGGAGTTGGTCCCCCTTTTGCTGTTATAATAACCTCCACTCTTCTGGGAAGGCTTTCCACTAGATTCTGGAGCGTGGCTGCAGGGATTTGTGCTCATTCATCCACAAGAGCAGTAGTGAGATCAGGCACTGATGTTGTTCGAGGAGGCCTGAGGTGCAGTCGGGGTTTCATTTCATCCCAAAGGTGTTCAGTGGGGTGGAGGTCAGGGTTCTGTGCAGGCCACTCCAGTTCTTCCACTCCAGCCTCAGCAAATCATGTCTTTATGGACCTTGCTTTGTGCACAGAGGCATTGTTATAATGAAAAAGGTTCAGGTTAGTATTAAGGGAAATCTTAATACTACAGTATACAGAGTAATTTTAGACAATTGTGTGATTACAATTTTGTGGAAACAGTTTGGGGAAGAACCACATATGGGTGTGATGGTCAGGTGTCCACAAACTTTTGGCCGTATAGTGTATGTCATAGTTGCATATCATACAGATAACCAGAGACAAAATGCAGGCTATGCATTTTAAAACCCATTATAAAGAATCCAGTCTTTATAGTCTTTAATCCACTGAAACTGAAAGTATGAACCGTGTCTTGAATGTTAAGTTTTGTAACAAGATGAGCAAATTTTCTCAGCAAGAATAGCAAGTTCAAAACAGAGTTGCCTAAAGCAGACAGTTAATGTTTGGAAAGTAATGTCAAGATCTTTGTGTTACGTTTTATTAGATGATTACGCCATTTGACCTGATTTGCATTTGTAGCAACAGATCAACCGTGTTATCAAAGTTTATATTTAACTGCGGCTGTGTTTCTTGTAATGTTGTGTGTATAAGTGTGTGTAAGTGTTTGTCTTGTGATACTGCACGTTATAATGGGCTATTAAAGAACAGTGGCAGCTGTAATTCATTCTCAAACCTGCAAGGAGCCCTTTAACTGTAAAATAAATTCCACTCACCCCTTAGTACGGCTTTATTTCATGTACATTATTTAAATGTGTACAATAAAATTTTGTCTATCTATTAGACAAGTTCTATTCTTGAAATTTCCATTTCAAGCATACATTAGGTCCAAGTTGACATTATTTATAGGCCTACTTGTTTATTTAGTTTTAAGAGAATTACTTCTCAGATTGTATGGTATCCAGGTAAAATCTTGGCTGAATTGAAAACTTTTTGAATTTGAAC